GGTGGGGCCCGGGCCGCTCTGGCTTGCGCTGGGCGGCTGGGCGGCTGGGCTGTGCGTGTGGCCGGCCCGCGCTCGCGCTCCCTTCCTTCCTTCCTTCCTTGCTTGCCCGCCGTCGCCCGGGCGAAGGCTGTGTGGCTTCTGTGTTCCGCTCCCTAAACCTCAGGTGCGCGCCGGGGCGCTCGGGGACGAGTCCCTGCTTCTCTCCCTCACTTTCCAGTTATAAAAACAGGCGTTGGAAATAGGTCATCTTTCTTCCCACGCGCCCTGGCCGTGGTCCACACGCTCGGCGCCCTACTAGGGAGAAGAATTCGGTGCTTTGGAGTTTGTCATTCTGGCCTTAAACTCTTCCTCCTCGCGGCTCCGGCCGGGCGCTGCAACTCTGCCTTTGCCCCGCTTGTCCTCGGGGGACGGTAGCCGCTGGGTAGCGGGCGCCACTCGCTGCGCGGCCTCGCCCCCGCCGCGTGTCGACACGTGTAGGATCACTTGCAGGGTATTGCTTTGCTTTTCCAAATGAAGGAGGTGTTTCAAAAGCAAACATACTTTTGAAGTATGCTGACAGGTTACTTTTGCTTTTAAAACCCTCCGAAGAGTTAACCGTTTAGCGATGAACCTGCTCATAGCTTGATTGTGGTGGTTGATTACACAGCTGTATGCGTTTTCACAACTCGTACAAGTGGACACCAAAAAGTGAATTTTACTGTGTATAAATGGTACCTCTCCCTCTCCTGTTTTTCTTCTCGATGGCCCCACTGGTATTTCAAAATTGAAATAACCAGTAATAATCTTGGAGAGGTTTTTCTTACTATATTTTAGGTGAATGCATTTAAGTCACGAATATAGCAAAATAGGGCTCCTGGGTGGCTCAGTCAGTTAATCGGCTGCTTTCGGCTCAGGTCATGATCCTGGGGTCCTGGGATCGAGTCCCCGCATCAGGCTCCCTACTCAGCCAGGAGTCTGCCTCTTCCTCTCCTTCTTCCCCTCCCTGTCGCTCGTGCTCTCTCTCGCTTGCTCTCTCTCTCAAATAAGTAAATAAAATCTTAAAAAAAAAAAAAAGAATATAGCAAAATAAAAAACAGCTTTCCACTGTTAAAGTTTGGCAAGACATTTGCTTGAACCATGAGATATTATGTCTATGCAGGCTACTGTGCATGCAGTCCCGCCTTACCAAATTAGTCCCAGGGACTGCTGTGATTGATATTCTGGTCAAGTTCCAACAATTTAAGGCGGAGTTTTTCTCTGGCCCGAGAAAGTAGTTTGCAAAGCCAAGTTCTCAAACAGCTACAGAACAACCTCTTTATTGGAATTCCAAACAACCTCAGTTTTTAACCTTCTGCTGCCCCTTCCTGTCTGCCCTCCTTTCTCTCAGCGTATTCCAAATTTTAAATTAGTGTCTGAAATGCAACTCTAGCCTGAGAGAGTAAAGTGGTTGCTGCTTCTCATTTCTTCAGTTTGCTGACATCTCTTGGTGCTTTTGTTCCTGTTATGGGAATGATGTTGGACTTGAAGATTGAAACATTTATGCTATGGAAATGAAAGTTTCTGTTCAGTTCTGTCAGTATGAGTGCAATAAGATTGTCAATAAGAAAGTAACACTGAACTTCTTTTCCGTGTGGTGAACATTAGGCCATGGTTTTTTTTTTTTGTTTTTTGTTTTTTTTTTAAAATTTTATTTATTTATTTGAGAGAGAGAGAGAGAAACAGCATGAGAGGGGGTAGGGTCAGAGGGAGAAGCAGGCTCCCCGCCGAGCAGGGAGCCCGATGTGGGACTCGATCCCAGGACTCCAGGATCATGACCTGTGCCGAAGGCAGTCGCTTAACCAACTGAGCCACCCAGGCGCCCTAGGCCATGTTTTAAGTAGTTAAATCTTTGCTTTAGAAGCCCCTGGAAAATGAGGAAAATGTAAAGGTTGTACTCAAACATCTTCCCATTCTAAAGTTCAACCACTGGAAACTGTTTTTGTTACGAGCACTCACAACAGCCTCCTTAGAGCTTGATGCTTTCATACCTAGAAGAGCATGACAGATGACAGCTAGAGAAAAGTGTCAACATTAGCTGGTACCAGAAATATTTAGTAGACAGTTACTGAATTCAGTAAAACCAGGTACACAGTTTGTACTTTGTGGAATTTTAGCAGAAGTAGGAGTAAAAATTTTACTAGCAGAGGGTTACTCTGGATTCTTTTTTACTAGATGTCCGTTTACTTTGAGGCTTTCCAGTTTCTTAAAATGTTTGAATTACACGGTCTCCTTTTTTTCTTATCTTTAATCTGAAGTAGCTTTTAGAAATGTAACTAATCATAGTGTATCTTTATGTGTGTGTGTAGTTTGATGACTATCTTCCACTGGGAGGTTTTTTTCTTTAGAAACTGGTTTGCTTGTCCCTGGCTGCTGTGTGAGGTGCTTCTGTTGGGGGTGGGGACGAAGAGTTTCAAGTGTGTCTCTTCTCCTTGTACCTAAGTCCTGGGATTAATGGAGCCATGATTTTGTTCTATTAGAGGAGCAGAAGTCATTTATTACTATGCCATTAAACATTTTTAACAAGACAGTGAACATATCTTTATTCTTATGTCGCTCTGGAAGTTGCTTGTGGCTAGTTGTTTTCTCAGTTAGCTAACATATTTGGGCCCATTATTTTACCATTGAAGACTATTTTGATTTGCTCTGCATCCTTTTTCTTTTGCTACAGTCATAGACGTGTTTATTTTGGACATCAGTTCATTCCGAGTTCTGCTTAAGCAGTTAAGAGTAATAAACTAAGGGTTCCTTGCTTTTACATTTTTCTAGGTTTCATTTTTTTGCAGTCACAGGTGTACCTTACTTGGCAAAATTGACTTCTTTACGTTGGATTTCCTGACATCATCTTATTTTCCTATTCCTAAAATTGGAGATGTTAAATATTTTGATCTGGAAATAGAATTAATTTGCATAATGTTTATTAAAGTAAAATTGAAATTTTCACAAAATATTAGGATATATAATCTTTCTACAAAGGAGCTTTTTTTTTTTTTTTTAAAGTCGCTTAATAGTGTTATGGAAAGAAAGCTTAGTTAGCAGAATTGGCAAGATTAGAAGTCCTACTTTTGTTGTTAAATTTATCCAGTAACTTAAGCCAGAGATTAGCTGTGTCGACTCTATTTCCATTTGGGGGTTTCCTCTAGGTTTTAGAAATAAACAGCTCTGAAACAAGAGATATAAACACAAGTATTGACAATTTGCAACTGAAATAAATTTGAATGGGAGAAAAATGATTCCAAATGATTATAAAATTCAAATACCAAAGTTAAGACTTTGAAACTATTTCTTATTCTAGTATTTTCTAAGTAGAAGTTAATTAATAATCAGGATAAACCCAAGTGGAAGACAGGTCCAACCCTGAAGTTAAGATTTTGAAAGGGATCTGAGTGATAACTGATTACCAAGCGAAGTAAGATCCTAACCTGTTACTTTTCTAGCTTCAGTGATGGGGATGTGGAGGGTGGGTAGGGAAAAGGGACAGAGCAGAAGAAATGTTTTCACTCTTTTTCAGAAAGGACTAAGGAATTGTCCAGAGAATGTAGATAACCAGGTGTCTACATGGAACTCTTAATAAATGTGCAGTGTTTTAGGCTTATTACTTATCTACAATCCTGAATTTCACTTTTCAGTTTTTTTAGGATATATTTCGTTAGAACATAGCAAGGTCTATGTTCAAAAATTATGTGACTAAGTGGTTTAAAGGTTTCAGTCTCAGGAAATAGGCATGACTTTTCAATATCAGTACTTTTCCAGTGAGTACAGTTAAAAGAAAGTAAGGATTAGTGTTGAAAAATAACCACTGAAGTTGCTTCTGCCATATTTACTAATGATTAACAAAGTTTTCCATTTGTTGATTGTAATGACTTAGCATTGCTACATGTCATCGTCACCTGAGTGGTTACTGCAGTTTCTTGACCCACGACAAGAGTGTAGCATTGCAAATCTCAATATGGGCTATGTGGGATTGGGCAGAAGTTTATTTGGAAGTTTTGCTCATGTTTCACATTTAAGC